TTCAGCCTTTTGCCTGAACAGCAGGTTGCAAATCTCTTGTTTGCATGCACGCTTGCCACTTGTATCACTACCATAAGCTGTTGCATTGACCCCTTGATTTATTATTATGCCTCTTCAGAGTGTCAAAGGCAGGTCTGGCGTCTCCTTTGCTATAGAAAGCATTCTGATCTGGAAAGGAGCATTCAGTTTTCAAGCAGTAATATGGAAACCTCATAAATATAGCTTTTAATCATTTGCCCAGAGCAGGGGTCGGCAAACTACGGCCCTGGAGCCAGATGCGGCTCCCCAGGCTCACAAATCCAGCCTGCGGACCCTGCCACCACTCAGTCAGTCCCTGCACACTGCGGATGCCTCGCCGCACAAGGACTGACTTTCCGTGGTGCTGGCACAGCTTCTGGGTGGGCGACGATGCTGGTGCGGCTTCGGATTGGCCGCAGGAAGCTCCTGCAGCCAATCCGAAGCTGTGACGTTTGGATTTGTGTGCAGGGGAGGCGACAGCACGGAGCAGAGCAGAGGCGGTGCTGCTGCCCCCAGCACCTGAGCGGGGCTTTCCCCATGGCGACAGTGCACACTTGGCAAGAGCCCCTGGCTTCCCGTCAGCCTCCTCCGACGCCTCTTCCTCCTCTTCTGCCATTGCTGCTCCTGCAGCTGCTGCTTCTCCTCCTCCCTGACACTGCTGCACCGGCCATGGCCCCTTTCCGGGCGTGCAGGATACAGTGGTACCTCAGGTTAAGTACTTTATTCGTTCTGGAGGTCTGTTCTTAACCTGAAGCACCACTTTAGCTAATGGGGTCTCCTGCTGCTGCCGCCGCCGGAACACGATTTCTGTTCTCATCCTGAAGCAAAGTTCTTAACCTGAAGCACTATTTCTGGGTTAGTGGAGTCTGTAACCTGAAGCGTATTTAACCTGAAGCATATGTAACCTGAGGTACCACTGTATGAGGAAGAAAGAGGTGCCGCCACCGTTGCAGGTAACCAGGCTTGGGCTATTCTCCACCTCCCCGCAGCGAAGCAGAGCATGCAAACCAGAGGGGATGATCATTGCAAGAAGATTTGTGCACACACACAGAGACCTTGCCACAATATTGTTGTGACCATTGCATAGTGCGTACTTACCCAGGAGTTGTTACGCTCTAGTGGGATGTGATGTCAACTTACGTAACTTTTACACAGAGGGCAGGCCCACTGGAATGAATGGACCCAGGTTGGGCATGGCCACTCATGTCAACAGATCTACCCTTGGGTAAAAAATAGAGACTGCCGTGTAAATATGCTTTTTTAAAAAGCTGCAGTCCAGCCCCCGACAGTGTTTGAGGGACAGTGAACCGGCTCCCTGTTTAAAAAGTTTGAGGACCCCTGATCCAGAGCATAGCATTTTATCTTATTAGTTTATTAATTGCCTTTTGTGTAAATCTCAAGGTGGTTTGCAACTACAGTTATATCTGATGTAATGTACTCATTCATAAAATTGGAGTTTGCATGTCACAGGTTTTGCATGGTTCAAAGCCTTTGATGTCTATGTATTTATTTCTATAGGATAGTCTCTAGAGCATTTAAACATGTCTGAATCGGATGCCAGAGACTAGACTGACTCTGAGGGTGAAGGAATGCAGGCACAGACAGAGCAGCCTCTGACAAAGGAGCAAGGGGAAGATTTGCATCCCGCCTTACACATTCCCAGAATCAGAGAGACCAGCAGATTCAGAAGCTGCTCAGTCGGGGGAAGAGCTGCACAGTTTTAAGATAGTAGCTAGGCAACCAGGAGGGAGGGAGCCTTTAGGACATTCTTCAATAGAGAGTGTTGGGGAAGTCCCCCCCTCCCCTAGAACTCAGAGGACTGAAAGGGTCCGGGAACAATGGAAGCACAAGGGAGGGACAGGTGGCCCGTGGCGTGCTTCTTGCTGCAGAAGGGGAGGGGACTTAGAGTGAGCAACTGCCATCCATGAAGGGGAACAGCTTGGTGCTGCTCTCAGTATGTTGTTGTAAATAAAATGGACTATAAACCTGCCAAAGGCTCGTTATTTCTTATCGGAAGCTACCGGACAGAAGGGGAAGCTCCCTTGCTTGCCAACATACCTGACAAAATACTTCACACTGCCTATGGCGTTGAATAACTGCTCTTATGAAATGGGGGCAAGACATCATGCCTCTCTGAAAATGACATATTGAGATGGGAGTATTATTAGTAAGGCACCTGGTTTGAATAGTAGAAGACCCAATGGCAAGTTTACCGAGGGTATTGGAGAAGATTTATGAATTTGGTCAAGTAGCAGAATTTAAGCTGAATAAGAGTAAAATGAAAATGCTGGTGAAAAATATGACAGAGCATCATCCAAAAAGGTCTACAAAATATTACAGAGTTGACAATAGATAAAAAGTTAAGTATTTAGGAGTTTGGTTGATAGCAAATAATATTAATGTTTATAAGGATAATTATTTATCTACTTGAAAAGAAGTAAAGAGAAATCTGGAGGTTTGGGAAGGATGAATTTATCATTTTGGGTGAGGATATCTGTGGTAAAAATGAATGTATTGCCAAGAATGTTGTTTTTGTTTCAATCAGTACCCACGATCAGCAGGGCAGGACACTTCAAGGAATGGCAAAGAGATATTTCAAAATTTATCTGGCAGGGGAAGAAGCCAAGAATAAAGCATAAATTATTAATAGATTCTAAAGATAGAGACAGCTTTTCCCTGCCAGATTAAAGGTTATATTATGAGGTGTCCTGTCTTTGCTGGCTCTGAGAATGGATAAGATTACAAAATATTTTACAGATATTTTAGATTTGGAGGGTCACGATGACAGATTTGGTTGACATGCGTATCTATGGTATGAAAAAGTTAAAGTACACAGAGGATTCCCGAACCAACTCGCGAAAAAGTCACTATATGTGGCATGGGAGAAATACAAAAAATTGTTAGAGCAGAAAACACCATGGTGGTTCTTAAAAGCTATTTTTGTGGGGGAAAATTGAATATGAGAAAGGGCTGGGCAACATATACGGAAATAATAATAATAATAATAATAATAATAATAATAATAATAATAATAATAAGTTTATTTATACCCCACCCATCTGGGTGGCTTCCAACAAAATATTAAAATACAATAATTCATCAAATATTAAAAGCTTCCCTAAACAGGGCTGCCTTCAGATGTCTTCTAGAAGTCAGATAGTTTTTTATTTCTTTGACATCTGATGGGAGGGCATTCCACAGGGCGGGTGCCACTACCGGAAGGCCCTCTGCCTGGTTCCCTGTAACCTCACTTCTCACAGTGAGGAACCTCCAGAAGGCCCTCGGCACTGGACTTCAGTGTCCAGGTAGAACAATGGGGGTGGAAAAGCTCCTTCAGGTATACCGGACCGAGGCTGCTCCGATGGGAAGGGAGGCATTGCGCTCTCAGCCCTCCTTCTCTACCTTCCATGCCTGACCCACCATGCACCGCTTCTCTACCACCACTACCACTACCACTACCGAAGAACCAACAACTCAGGGGCTGCCCAGGCTCATGCTGTAGCATCAACGTCCCAAATGTGTTTTTTTTTATTCTTTATTTATTTATTTATTTATTTATTGCGTCCCTGGATTCATTGAAAAAAATCTGGTAACCTTATTTTAAATATCCCATTTAGTCCGCAAACATTGCTTTCCCATTTCTATTCTTCTCTCAGTGAATAGACCACACCATTTAGTAAGTTTAAATGCTTTACTTACAAAACTCCAAAGGTCAGATTCATGTGTTATTCCATGCAACAGCAAGAATACAAAAACACAGGTAGAAATCTTGGGATACAAGATATAGTGAAATAGCACTAATGTCAGGAGCTGGCCGGCTGCTGGCTTGAGAAACAGCACGCAAGAAGTAATTTAACAAAAAAATTATTGCTTACAAGCAGTTAGCCTTTGACCGCTCTCTCCAAGCAACCATACATCACAATCAAATTGACCCTTCTGAAGAACCCTTCCGGCTCTTGCAGAATATCCTGAACCTCTGACCCTTACATTTCAGGGGTCGTCTTCTGTCTTGGACTTTCCCCATTCGTCTATCCCTGGGACTGATGGGGTCAGCTACCTCCCCTTCCAGTGAGGAACTGATCTCCCTCCCTTGTGCCGTGAGTGACTGTGATTCTTGAGAAAGCTGGCTTCCCTCCAGCCCGCCTCCCCTGAGCTGATAAGCTGCATTCCTGCCAGCTTCAGAGGGGGAAGTTGTCAGCCCACTGGTTCCAGCTGTCTGAGAAGTCTGCAAGTCTCTCTGTTCTTCTTCTGCCTGTCTGCCTGCCTTCTATCTCAGGCTGTACTTCTTGGCTTTGGGCTGGTGTGTTCATGACATCTAAACATATCGTCTGCGCTTGTAGCAAGTGAGTTCAAGCACATCCTATTGCAGTGAGTTCACATGGTGAAAGAGAACAAATAAGGAGGAAGCTTAACTTCCTCCCAGGGGAGGGGCATAACCTGAGTCTAGGAATGCATTTCTGTAGTCTTAACCCCTTCATGCATTCATGAACTCCATGCTTGCTAGTTATATTTGACTGCAATTCACCACAAATGTCACCTCCAAATGTCACTTCCCCACAAATGTGAAGGAGTGGACTATGTCTACTTTTCTCTTTCTGAATGAACATCACCTACTGGAGCCTATTTTGTAGCCTCTGGCCCCATCCACCACTACACCAGAAAAAGAGTGTGTGACCTGTGGCTTGAAAATGGTCCCCTATCCCTGATTTCAGCTAACATCATGGGCATAGCCAGAGGGGGGACAGCTCAAGTAAATAAATAAAGATACTTAACTAACTGACCCATCATGTCACAGATAGCATGGTTCTAACAAATGTCCTTTCCCCCCACCACGGCTAACATTCATTCAGGTCTAAAGTGGATTAATAGTCAAGCACTTTATCCACTGAGAAAATATATAAGAAAATGAAAAATTATCTGTTAATGTTATTCAGGAGTCCTAAATCTTCTCCTTTTTTTGCTGAAAATGGATAAATGGAAAACCACAACAATTGCTTCTATATCAATTACTTGCCTCATAATGCGATTCCCAGAAATTATTTGCTTTTAGGAAGCATCTTTTAGAAAAGTAAAGAGAACAGAAGAGTTGCCTGAGAGTTTTCATATAGCGCTTTGGGAATTGGGCAGAAGAGAGAGATTAAAAAACCCCTCTGCTGCTTCTAGGATGATGCAATGTGATGACAGTTGGGGTTGACTCTGCCCCTTCTGTTGGGGTATGGCAACATTCAAGCCCAAACTGGACAAGGAGATGACAGCTGGATTTAGATCTCAGTGAGGGTTCTGTATTCTGAGGCAAAATAAGCTGATTTTCAGGGAAATCCTTGCAATTTCTTCTAGACAGAACCAAAGATGAGGTGCACATCTGAGGCAGAAACAGGCGCTTCCCTCAAGATCCTCTTTTCTCTGCTCAGTATAGTCTCCACCATATTTAGCACGGCAAGTGCAAACAGTAAGTACAACCCAACATCCTTTCTCCACAATTTAATATTTAAGGCAATGTGTTTATATTGTGCAATTGTTTCAGGGAACATTTACTTTCTCTTACTTTTCCAAATTATTTTGATATGGAGGAAGAACCAAGTTGAAGGGTTTTAAAAGAGGAGGGAGAATATCCTTGTAACATGGGGAGAAATCTGCTTTGCAGTGGTTATATCCAAATATTTTTAATATTCAGTTTATCAGACACTTGCACATAAAAAGTCTCCAAGTGACTTGCATCATTTAAAAAACAAAACAAAAATAATAAAATATAATGATTGGTTTCACCGAACTGTATTCCAGTTCATACCTCAGCTTAATTGCGGCTTCTGTTTTCAATTTGAATGGAATCTAGTTTGAGGGAATGAATCTAGTTTGAGGGAATGAGAGTATTTCTCATGAAGCAATGGGATACAGATGGATTGTAGCTTTGTAGCTAATATCCTGTGTACCTGGCTTCAGACACTGATGGTGAAAGCACACTGGAGCAGGAATAAACAGTAATGTGTACACAGCCTAAAAGCAGGAAAAGCCTAGTCAGAAGTCTAAGGCAGGGAATGCATGGCCCTCCATATGCTGTTGGGCTGTAAAGCATTAAAGGGTGATCCCCTATCCTCCAGATTACAGCAGTATCTGGAGGGCCAAAGGTTCCTCAGCCTTTGTTTAAAGGTTATTATCTCACATTTTCATGTAAAAGCATACACTGAAGTTTCTCATTTGGAATAGGGATAGCAATGTAAATCTTGTCCACACCAGTAATTTTTAAAATACAGTGGTACCTCTGGTTACAAACTTAATTCTTTCTGGAGGTCCGTTCTTAACCTGAAACCATTCTTAATTTGAGGTACAACTTTAGCTAATGGGGCCTCCCGCTGCAACCGCACGATTTCTGTTCTCATCCTGGGGAAAAGTTCTTAACCCGAGGTACTGCTTCTGGGTTAGCGGAGTCTGTAACCCGAAGTGTTTGTAACCCGAGTTGTTTGTAACCCAAGGTACCACTGTACCCTATTAAGTATAGTCAAACCTATAACTTCATTTGAATTAATATTCTCATAAGTAAACCAGAGTTGGTGTATTGACTTCTGTAACATTGTTAATATGGCCATTTATATATCTGATTTACATATTGCAGATTCCACATTTCCCCTCCCTGCTTATGGTTTCCCTGTATATAAAAATCATGTAAACAACTCCAGTCAAACCACAGAAGATGGTGAAAAATACTTGACTGGTCCATGGATGACTCGCTTTGTTCCTTCACTCCACACTGCTGTGGTTATCTTCAGCCTTCCTTTAAACATTATGGCAGTTCTCATGTTTGTGGTCAAATTAAGGCTTAAGAAACCAGCTGTGGTGTACATGCTCAACCTGGCTTCTGCAGATGTCCTCTTCGTGAGTGTGCTTCCTTTTAAAATCGCCTACAACTTTTCTGGAAACAACTGGATCTTTGGACCTGAAATGTGTCGATTTGTCGCTGCTGCCTTCTACTGCAACATGTATTGCTCCGTCCTGCTGATGATGGTGATAAGCGTGGACCGTTTCCTGGCCGTGGTGTACCCAATGCAGTCCCTGTCCTGGCGCACAGCAAGACGGGCCTCGCTGGTCTGCTTTCTCATCTGGCTTCTGGCTATAGCTGGGGTGATACCTCTGCTTGTCAGTGAGCAAACACAGAGATTATCCCGGTTAAATATTACGACCTGTCATGATACATTAGATATATTTGCTATTATGAAGATATTTCGGCATTACTATTCTGCATTATCTATTTTGTTCTTTTTTATACCGTTATTAATCTCTGTTACCTCTTATGTGTGCATTATAAGGAAACTTTCTTCGTCCAATGTTGCTGCAGAGCCTAGTAAAAGGAGACGTGCCATTCTCCTGTCTGTAGCTGTCTTGTCTTCTTTTATTATCTGTTTTGGTCCTACAAATGTCCTATTACTAGTGCACAGCTTGCGCATCTCACCTGATCAACCCCTTGAAAGCCTGTATTTTGCCTACATCTTAGCAGTCTGCACTGGTACCATAAACTGCTGCATTGATCCCTTAATTTATTATTATGCTTCTTCAAAGTGTCAAAAGCAGGTGTGGGATCTCCTGTGCTATAAGAAGCATTCTGCTCTTGCACAGAGCAGTCAGACAACAAGCAGCAATGCCACTAACCTTTTAAGCGGCCCAAATAATTTGTCTCAAGCATAGCATCTTACACTAAATATGTTTGCAGTACAGTAATACTCATTTGGAAACCTAGTTGTTGCATGCTACCTATATTACAGCCTCTGTCTTTAACGTCCACACATTCTTTCTCTAGAATATTTGTGCTTTTTCTTATATTCCAAGAATAAGGTGTCAGACCATGGTTTTTCTGCGGCTGCTGTTAAAATAATGTCTGTCTAGAGTTGTGATTTGCTCCAATCGTGACTGTATAGAAATAAATACTATATATTGTTGTCCAGTTATTTTCTCATTATAATTTTCATAACATTAACAAATAATAAATGAACTGTTGCCATCTTACATCTATATGAAGTAATTATGAGTTTGCGGGCATCAATATGCTGATGACACTAAGGTCTCTTTTTCCATAACATCTGTGTTGGGGGAGGCTGGGCAGTCTCTGGACCCGTGCTTGGATGTAGTGGCGAGATGGATAAGGAGAAACCAGTCTGAGTTGGATAGAATTAGGCTACAGTTTTACTGATTACAGAGCAACAGGTTTGATGAAGGCATCAGGCATGAATCCATGTGATCACCTAGCCCATTTGCTGCTTGATAAGCTTATCTTTTGACCATCGGTAGGCAAACTAAGGCCCGGGGGCCAGATCCGGCCCAATCGCCTTCTAAATCCGGCCTGCGGACAGTCTGGGATTCAGAGCGTTTTTACATGCATCTCTGGGTTATTTGTGGGGCATAGGAATTCGTTCATTTCCCCCCAAAAAAATATAGTCTGGCCCCCCACAAGGTCTGAGGGACAGTGGACCGGCCCCCTGATGAAAAAGTTTGCTGACCCCTGCTTTTGGCCATCACTGTTACTCACCCTGACATGAACCGCTATCCAATGAACTTCCCCTGGCCACTGTCAGGGGGTGCCATGGCCTGTCAGCCCACAAGCTGGACTTCTGAACAGAAATTGCTGCCTCCAAGATCCCTCAAGGGGATCCCCTACGAGCTGCCCCCTCCTCTACCCCTCCCTTTTAAGGAACTAGCTCAATGCCTCTTACCCAGGGCATTATTTTCTTTTAGCAGCAATTCACTGGAACTCAGTTCTGGCACCTCTCAGGTGGGCACCATTGCTATAATAAGAGAACAAGGGAGGTGTTCATGGTGAGTTCTGGCACCTTTTTCTAGAAAAACAGCAGTGCTCTTACACGACAACAGTTGTGACAATTAAAAAGTGTAGTGGAAACAAATCAACAGAAATTATTAAAAGGGTGCCTGGGTGGGGACTTCCGGCGAGGCAGCATGGCGGCAGCAGCAGAAGAAAAGAGCTCCTGAAGCCAGCCAGAGTAAAAGGCTCTGGTGACCGATTCCCGGACCCCCCCCCCCCAGGACTGCTGCTGCCAGCACTGCCAACGGAGAGGAATTGGGGGTGCCCGGGCATCTATCAAAGGAGCCAAAACACCCCCCCACGACCTTGATTGAGCCGGAAAGGCACCCGACCCCCCCCCAACAGCCGAGAGGAGCTCCAAAACCAGGAGGACAGTGGAGCTAACGCAAAGAGGGAGAAAGAAAGGGAGAGAGAGGAAGAAAAAGAAAGAAAGAAAAAGGAGCCCCAAATTTACCGTTGCTGCCCCCATCTCTGCCGACGGGAAAGCAGAGGAGAGGTAGGTGAGCACGGTGAAGGCAAAATAGGCTTCGGGGAAGGAAGGGGGAAAAAAACACACGTGGCTGAGCCCTACCGGGAGCTCCAGCGGCAAGGAAAACACAGAGAAGCTGCATAACAAAGGAGACCACAGAAAAGAAAAAACAACCTTCCCCCCCTTTTTTTTAACTCCCCCTTTTTTTAACCCCTTCCTCCCCCTCCCTCCCTCCCTTTAAAGAAAATATATATATACATCTTTCTTATCCCTCCCCCCCCATATACCTACTTTTACCACTTTTCTTTTTAAAAGAGGGGCCACTGCTGCTGCAGCCACCCTTTATTTGAATCTTTACTTTTATTTCTATCTTTTCTACTCACTATTTAAAGACACACTTTTCCACACACACATCCTCAATTTAAACCTCATTTTATTTCCACCTCAAACTCCCCTCTTAAGATTTAAAATGGCAGTACCCAGAAAACAGCCCTGAACCATCACAGGCCATTTCCTGGGACTGCCACTTCGCCCCAGACTTTCCACTCTCTTTTACCTACCCTCTTTTACCTATACTTTACTCATTTTTTTTAAAAAAAATAAAAAGCTCTATCTAAAGACAACCCCCCTTTTTTTTTTACCTTTAATTCTCATTCTTATCTTTTACCCGTACATTTTTGGTTGCTTTTCTGCAGACGGAGAGTGGTGGCGGTGGTTGGGGGGACATATTATTATTATTTTTTAAAAGACAGAGCAGAGCCATACAATTATTCTTCTTTTCTTTCTCTTTTTAAAGCTCTTGTTGGCTTGCTCCTGAGGGGGGAATCTTTCGCCCCCAGCTACGACCACCACTCTCTTTTAAAACAAAAATTTCCTCCATATACCCATTTGGAGAATAAAAAATAACTGCATGGTTTTGTTTGATTTGTTTTTCTTAAGAATAATATTTCCCCCTGGTTATTGTTGTTATTTTTTGTTTGTGGGAAAGTAATTAAAAATGGAGGAAAATTAAACATATACCCCCTAATCTCTTGCATCTCTACCTGCTAACCCCCTTCCCTTTATATGAACTGTCTGTCCATTAGTCTACCCATCTCTGCTTACCTGCCCCCCCCCCGCCTCGGCGGCACCGCTGAGGCATCTACAGAAGCCCTAGAGAAGTTCTTAAAACACAGGCTAGAAGTGACACAAATGACCACCTAATCCAAACGCTCTGTAAAAGCCACCAGCCAACAAAGCCTGATCAGCTCAGCAACCCAACAATACCCAGGAATCACCACTGCCACAACTCCTAACCATCACACGCCCAACCCCAAGAGGATGCCAAGCCAACCTCAAACCAAAACCATCAGGGAGACCGAGATGACACCAACCAGGGAGATGGCAAACAATGCTAAGATGGTAACTCCCCTTCAAGATGATGACCACCCAATAACGAAACGAGATCTGAGGGAAATGGAAGCACGATTAGAAGAAACACTGAAGGCCACAATGGCTCCCATGCAGGTACTAATCAACAATCTAACCTCCAAAGTGGAAGCTCTAGAGAACAAGAACCAAATGCAAGAAAGAATAATAGAACAATACCGGGAGGAGAATGCACGTGTGAACAAGAAACTGGACGAACTGGTAAACCAAATGGAAGCAGAACACAACGAGATGAAAATTAAGCAAGCCGACCTTGAAGACCGCAATAGACGTTGTAACATCCGCTTCCGCAACTTTCCTGAAAAAACAGAGGAGGAAAGCCCAGCAGACCTAATTATACGCTGGCTGAAAAACACAATCCCAAGCCTGAAACTTGAGGCAGATGACTTGGAGAGGGCTCACAGAGCCCTAAAACCTATGCCAAAACCCAGCGCCCCCCCGAGAGACATCATTGTATGCTTCACACGCTACCAAAAGAAGGAAGAGATATGGGACCAACTCAGAAACTCAAGCAACCTTCGATATGGAGAAACCCCCATTCTGGCCTTACAGGACCTATCTCAGGATACCCTAAACCGGAGGAAAAGCCTGCGCCCATGCACCCAGCGTCTCCAACAAGCAGGGATCAAATACCGATGGGGCTTCCCCTTCCGCCTCATTGTAACAACGAACACAACACAACACATGGCTACCAACATACCTGAGGCCCTGCAACTACTAAAGAACCTTGAACTCGACCTCCCGCCGGAATGGAAACCGACAAACCCACCAAGTGACAGCCCCAACCACGAGGAAACAACAGCAAACAACTGGACAACGGTACAGAAGAAAAAGATACAACAGAAGCGGCGCAACAACGCAAACCAATACAGGCAAGCATCATGCTCAGAACCGTCCCGCCGGCCATACGACACAAGAAACCAGACCAAGATCAACCAAACCAACTCATCGCAGATGGACAACCCTACAACAACAACAACAACCCCGGCTGAAAGAAGCAACCAGGAAAAAACCACAAACTGAAGGACTGGTGATTCCCCCCCCTTTTTTTCCCCTCCCCCCCCAAAACATAGATTTAGTTAACACCATCAACATCCCCCCCAGCCCCGCACCCCCACAGAAATCCCCACCCCAACACCAGTCCAGACGACCTCAACCACATTCCCCATCACCCACACCTTCAACATCCTCATACTCCATACTAAGGAAAAACAACTCCAACCTTAATAACACAACCCACAATCAGGCTAAAATCTGATACCCAACCAGCACTATGGTGGCACCAGAGCGTACCAGCACCCACATCCCCACCCCAACACACCAACAATGTTGCTCATAATACTGGCAACACTGCTTACAAACCTTATACCTGACAGCGACGTTACAAAGTCACTTCACACTGTCTCGCTGATCACCCCCTATCGCAGACAACAGGGGGGATGGCCTGTCCTTGAACACGGCCTTCCACACCAGCTGAGACCTAGGACCAACTGGCTAAATGCCAGATGGCCCAAAATACCCCAAACAAACACCTATATGACTACATATAGGAAACTCCCTACAACTTACCCCCTACTCTTTAACCCAAATCTCACTCTAATCCTACTAGCCCCCCACCCACCACACCCTAGGTCAGCGCAACCCCACTGGTTCTTTAAACAACACGAAGAGAGAGACACAAGACAACCCGAACGGGTTGGCAGGGAATCGCCCCACATAATAGATAAACAAAATGGCTAACCTAAAAGCAATTACATTAAACGTGAGGGGGCTGGGAAACCCCATCAAAAGAAAACGCATCACCTCATACATAAACACCATGAAACCACACATCACCTTCCTACAAGAAATACACAATCCACCCAAAGGCAGCAAACTCCTGAGCGACCCCCGCTTTAGTCAACAGTGGGTCGCAGGAGGCTCAGGGAAAGCCCGTGGTGTAGCCATAATACTCAGTAGGGACCTGAACTTCACTGCCACAACAGTCCTCAAGGACAAAAAAGGCAGATTCATTTTCGCTAAAGGGACACTAGATGGCAAAATCAAACTGACAATCGGCTCCATATATGCCCCAAACACGAAACAACTAGAATTCTTCCAGAAAACACTAAACAAATTCCTCTCCTTCTCTGAAGGGGAAGCAATCCTAGGAGGGGACCTCAATCTAAATATGAAAGGTATATCCCTGAAAGATATCCACCCCACAACCCCATGGGCAAC